CACATTGCAGAGAAAAACAACTCTGCTCAGAGAAGTGATAAAGCAGTCCAAAGGCTGAGGTGAGCTGCGCCCCCTCCTGGCAGAGGAGGTGAACTGAAGATGCAGCTTTCTGGGGCTGCAGAAGCCGGAAGTTGTACCTCTGCCCGGATGCGTGGGTGTAGGCAGGGCCTTTTTTTCAGGATTGTTTATTTGCTCAATGGGGTGGAGCTAGTGGGGCCCAGGGCCCCCCAGATAGACCTAGGGCCTGCGGGGGCCTCTGCCTGGAGGACGGGTAGGGTGACCAAGAGGGTGCAGACTAAGGAGAAAATAAGCGGCTTTGGGGCCCCTGGAGACCCCCCCTGCCCTCAGGCTGCCTGGCCCTTAGCAGGAGCTCCCAGATGCCTCCTCCCAGATGAAGGCCAGGGAAGACATTCCAGGGAGCCAGGCCCAGTAATGTGCCAGCCAGCTAACTGGCATCCATGATTAGAACTCCTGTTTATGGTCTGCTTATAACCGGGCAGCTTTCAACGGGAGGGCTTATGTAGGGACAGTTAAGATGTCTTTCACTTTACCCCAAAGCACATGGTGCTGACCTCTGGGGCCAAGCAAAATGCGCTTTCTTCCCTATGACAGCCATTGTGTGTCCATCTCATCAGCCCCCCAGCAAAAACCACACACACACACACACACACACCCCTGTCTAAATATTTCCTTCATCCCATCCTCCTATACTGTGCCTGCAAGGCCCCCCACCATCCTGTCTGCCCTCATCTGGACCAACTTCCAGCCCATCGCTGTGTTTCTGAATCTAGCATCCAGGATTGAGCCCAAGGTTCCGGAGTGGCCACACCTCCCTCCCCCACCCTGAACCTCCCCTTCCTTCCATGCACAGGCCTTAACTTGGGGAGCTATCCATCATGTTCAGCCCATGGAAAGAGGCTGACCAATAGTGCCCAACCCTCCCTGGAGCCTAGGGCTCCTTACATTGCCCTGAATAGCCCTTTTTTGGGGGAAGGCAATTGGGGTTAAGTGACTAGCCTAGGGTCCCACGGCTGCCATTTGAATGACCTTTTCTGCCCTCTAGAAGGACTAGCCTAGAAGGGTTCCTTGGGCAGGCCTGTCATTTCAAGGCAATGAATGGGCATTTGCCCAGGGTATACTTTATGCCGAGCACTTATGTGGGTGCTGCCTTTCTCCGGTATGATGGTGTGTGTAAAGTGGAGATCTGGAAATGAGGTCAGTTACAGGGCAAGAGCATTTGATCTTCAGGAGCAAGGATTGTTTCCTTCTTTGCACTTGTGGCCCCAGCACCCAGCATGGTACCTGGCATACAGTGGGCATTTAATTAATGCTGTTTAGTCATTCAGTTGTGTCTGACTGTGTGACCCCATTTGGGGTTTTATTGCAGGGGTTTGCCATTTCCTTCTCCAGTTTATTTTACAGAGGTGGAAACTGAGGCAAGCAGGGTGAAGTGACTTGCCCAGGGTCACACAGCTAGGAAGTATCTGGGGCCAGATTTGAGCACAGGAAGATGAGGCTTCCTGACTCCAGGCCTGGCACCATCTAGCTGCCCACCTCTCCTCTTAGGAGCTGGCAAAGCAATCCACAGAAAGGAAGCAGCTTCCCTAGGGTCCCAGCACCAGAGCTCAGCTTCAAAGTGTAGGAACAATGGAAAAAGCCCAGCCAGTTGGGAGTCAGCTGCCCTGGCCTCCAGTTCTATTGGAGCTCCTTCCTTCCTAGCTGTGACCTCGGGGACAATGACGTCACCTGTCTGGGCCTCTGTTTCCTCATCTGTAAAGGCTGACCTGGGTGATCTCCAGGGGGCCTCCCAGCTCGAAGCCCTTCTCTAGGACTGTCACATAGCAGGGCCTCCTTGTATTTTGGGAAGATGCAGGGAAATACAGCTGGATGCGGCCTGCTGAGGCCCTCCTCCCATGGGGAGCCCAAATGAGGAGCAAGTTCACTTGGGACAACATCAGGGTTTTATTTTATTTTGGAAGAGGGAAATGGAGCCCAACCTGGGATGCAGTCACACTGGGAGATGGGATGATAGAGCCCAGCCTGGGCTGATATCACACTAGAACATGGGATGATGGAGCCCAGCCTGGGATGGGATGATGGAGCCCAATTGCAGGGAGAGGGCGGGGTCTGGCCCTTGCCCCTCGGGTGGTTGTGGGGAGAAGGCCCAGGTGAGAAGTGTCTAGTGCCCTTCTTGGTGGTGCTCTGTGCTGGGGGCCTCTCTGCCCCCGTGCCTCGGGAGGATGCAGCCTTCCATTCTCCACATACCTCCTCGGGAGGAGGAGGGTGGAAAATAACTGGATGAATCCCCTGGATGACTGGACATTTGCTGCCATCTAGTGGCCACATGCATCATTGCAGTAAGTGGTTTTCTTGACCAACGGGGCCTTTCATCCGAAGGCGTCCTTCAGTTTGTGCCTACGAAGGGTTACTCCATGCCAAGCCCCGGAGCTGGGCTGCCGCTGGAAGGATGTCAATGACTCTGCCCCTCAACGTCCTCACCTCCAGGGATGAGCATTCTCTAGCAGGGGTGGGGGTGGGGTAGGCATGTGCCCACGAGGAAATCCAAGCTAACTGGGGGAGGGAAGAGAAGGGGGAGAGGCAGTGACTGCCCCCTGAGCCTTGAAGGCAGTGCAGGATTCTGGAAACCAGAGATGCTGCGGGGTGCTGCTGGTGACTTAGCTGACCGAGTACTGGCCTGAGGGGGTCGGGAGAAGGGGGTTAGAAGGCCTCTTTGAATATCCAGAGCCAGCAGGAGGCTGAGAGCTGCACTGGGTAGTGAGGACAGGACTCAGCATTAGAAAGGAAGCATCTTGGCCAAACCCCAGAGAGGGCTAGAGCCCTGCCCAAAGTCCCTGGGGGTGGGTGGTGGGGAGCACAGCCCAGGTCCTAGGACTCCAGACCTGGCTCTTTCTGCTGCCAGTGGTTGCCTCATTTCTTTTTTTTTTTTTAATTAATTTATTTTGATTTATCAACAATAACTTCCATATGCTTTTGAGTTTAAAATTTTTCTCCCCCTTCCTCCCGACCACCCTCCCCAAGACGGCACACAATCTGATATAGGCTCTATATAAACATTCCTATTAAACATGTTTTCACATTAGTGATGTTATAAGTAAGAATTAGAACCAATAGGAGGAACCACCAGAAAAAGGAAACAAAACTCAACAGAAGAAAAAAAATAGCAAATAGTCCGCTTCGATCTGCATTCAAGCTCCATAGTTCCTTCTTTGGATGTGGAGAGCATTTTCCATCACAAGGCCTTTCGGGATGTCTTAGATCCTTGTATGGCTGGGAAGGGTTAAGTTTATCAATATTAGTCATCGTACAACATGGCTGTTATTGTGTACAACATTCTCCTGGTTCTGCTCATTTCACTCAGCATCAGACCATACAAGTCTTTCCAGGTTTTTCTGAAGTCTGCCTGTTCATCATTTTTCTTTTTTTTTTTAAACTTCATTTTTTGTTTTTTAGGCAATTGGGGTTAAGTGACTTGCCCAGGGTCACACAGCTAGTGTCAATTTGGTCTGAGGCCAGATTTGAACTCAGGTCCTCCTGACTTCAGGCCTGGTGCTCTATCCACTGTGCCACCTAGCTGCCCTCTGTTCATCATTTCTTATAGCACAATAGTATTCCATTACATTCATATACCACAGCTTGCTCAGCCATTCCCCAGTTGATAGGCATCCTCTCAATTTCCAATTCTTTGCCACCCCAAAAAGAGCTGCTATAAATATTTTTGTACATGTGGGTCCTTTTCCCATTTGTATGATCTCTTTGGGATACAGCCCTAGAAGTGCTATTGCTGGGTCAAAGGGTATGCACATTTTTATAGTTCTTTGGGCATAGTTCCAAATTGCTCTCCAAAATGGTTGGATCATTTCACAACTCCACCAACAATGCATTAGTGTTCCAATTGTCCCACATCTTCTCCAACACTTATCGTTTTCCTGTTTTGTCTTGTTGGCCGTTCTGATAGATGTGATGTGGCACCTCAGAGTTGTTTTGATTCGCATTTCTCTAATCAATAACGATTTAGAGCATTTTTTCATATGACTATAGATGGCTTTAATTTCTTCATCTGGGAACTGCCTGTTCGTATCCTTTGACCATTTATCAATTGGGGACTGACATATTTTTATAAATTGGACTTAATTCTCTATATATTTTAGAAATGAGGCCCTTATCAGAGAGACTGGTTGTAAAAATTCTTTCCCAGTTTTCTACCTTCCTTCTAATAATGTTAGTTGCATTGGCTTTGTGCAAAAACTTTTCAATTTAATGTAATCAAAATTATCCATTTTGCTTTTCGTAATGTTCTCTATCCCCTGTTTGGTCATGAATTCTTCTGTTCTCCATAAATCTGACAGGTAAACTATTCCTTGCTTTCCCAATTTGCTTATAGTATCAGCCTTTATATCTAAATCATGAACCCATTTTGACTTTATTTTGGTATATGGTGTGAGATTTGGGTCTATGCCTAGTTTCTGCCATACTCTTTTCCAGTTTTCCCAGCAGTTTTTGTTAAAGAGTGGGTTCTTCTCCCAGAAGCTGGATTCTTTAGGTTCAGTGGCTGCCTCATTTCAAAGCCCTCTGATGACCCCACAGCCTTCCCTAATACTTGGAAGTAGAAACATGCCACGAACCTGTGTCCAGGTGTGAGCAGCAGGGGTCCTGGGAGCCGGGGGTGACCCAGAGTTAGCCCCTAAGGTTTGCAGAAAGCTTCTCCATGGTAAAAGGGCACTTGGAGGTAATGTCTTTTGTTTAAGCCTCACCACATCCCTGGAATGTAGGCACTAATTAGCCTTATTTTACAGATTAGGAAGCAGAGGCTTGAATGTGGTCACAGATTTCCTTCTTCCCATGGGGACCTCAGGGTTCCCTCCCAGAAGCCACTGGCCAAGGAGAACTGACCTTACCTGCTGCCCCTCCCCCCAGCTTGCCTCATAAAGGAAGGGTCACAAGTGGGGGCCTGACTGGGCGTTTTCTTCCCGAGGCAGGCCTGTCCCATGCTGGGCCTCTCTTTCCCTAGAGCAGAGCCCAGGCTTGTGCTAGTCTCTGGAGCAGAAAGGGAAAGTGTGAGCGGGCCTGCCCTCCAGGGACTTCCAGGCTATTACTTGTCGTGGGTACAGAGAGCATTGCGGCAATGGGGGAGGGGCGGGAAGGCTTGAGGGCGGCACCTGAAGGCAGAAGTGAGCTCAGCAGGTGTGCCAGGCCCATGTGCCAGGCCAGGAGGTAGAATGCCAAGTAAAAGGAAGAGCGAGGAGGCCTCCCTGGTCAGGACATGGGAGCGCTTAACAGGCACGCACGTGTAATCAGCCTAGAAAGGCAGGCTGTGAGGAGCTTGAAATGCCAGATAGCGGCACAGTTTGTGTCTGAGCAGAGGCAAGAGGGAGCCACTGATGCAGGTGAGTGACAGGGTCAGACCTGTGCTTGGACTATTAATTTGGCAGCTACGGGGAGGCCAGATGGGAGGCGTTGTAATAGTCCAGGGAAGTCTCACCCATCCCTCCAGCCTCCTGAGAGGTCAAGGCTCCGGGTTGGCAACGAGGTGACACCTTCTGCTGGTGTGCCTCACGGCAGTCAGACCTAGCCTTCTTCTGGTAGCCCTTGTGACTCTTTCTGTCTGGGTACCTCCCCAATCAACCAATCAATCAGCATTTATTAAGTGCTTGCTAGGTGCCAGGCACCATGCTGAGCTCTGGGAATAAAAATAGAGGCAAAAGACAGTCTCTGCCCTCAAGGAGCTTGCCATCTAATGGCCCTCTATTGCATAGGTTCCTAAAGTGGGCAATACCCCAGCTGAAATGATGGGGGCGGGGTGGTGGGAGCCTTGGGTGCAGTTGGGGGTGTTGAATAAAAATAAGGGGGCGGTGGGAGAGTAAGGAAAAAACAGAAGAGAAGAACATTTTGAAAAACCATTCGTATGTTTCATCTGTTGTGTAATAGAGTTAACGTAGCGATTACATTATTTTCAAAAAAAAAAACCCCACACAAAATGCAAGCTATAATCAATCAGTGATCAAGTCAGCAGACAGATCTTAACAAGCAAGTGTTGACAGGCAGGCTAGCCCCCTGAGCATCGTCACAAAGTCCGGCATGCATGGGTAGGAATATATTCGTGTAATGGCTTGTTTACAATATGATACTATATGGTCTTCATCAAAATTTCAATGCAGGAAACAAACCCACAAATTTATGATAAATTATTAAATTTAAGATGTGTCATTTAAAAATATTTTATATACTTTTGAGGTGATGTAAATTTCAAAAATAAAATGAAAGGGTAAAAAAAAGTAGATTCCGGGACAGGGTGCTGAGTATTTTTTTAAAAATAAGTTTGGGAACCTCTGCTGTAGAGGGAACACTTCCTAGAGAGCTGGTTTCTGGGGGAGATGTTTTGTTTCTATTACAACAGCCTCGGAATCGGTCTCCTGGTCTCCAGTCCATCTCCTCTCCCTTCGATCCTTGGCATAGCTGCCAAATTAATATTCTTAAAATTCAGGGGTGAGACTGCTATTCCCCGACTCAGTAATCACTAGTGGCCTAGCAGAATGTAAACTTCTTGAAGCTAAGGCCTGTCTCCTTTCCTTCTTTGCATTTCCAGTGGTTAATAAAGGGCGGCACACAGTTGACATCACAAGTGTCTTGGTTTATTGCTACTATTCTTTTTTTTTTAATATAAATTTATTTATTTTTAGTTTTCAACATTCCCTTCCACAAGTTTTTGAGTTCCAAATTTTCACCCCATCTCCCCCCCTCCCCCACCCCAAGATGTCATGCGTTCTGAATATCCCTTCCCCTACTCTGTCCTCTCTTCTATCTCTCTCCCCTTCTCTTATCCCCGTCCCCTTCTATTTTCCTGTAGGGCAGGATAGACTTCTGTACCCCATTTCCTATATTTATTTCCCAGTTATTGCTACTATTCTTCCTGAATTTCAGTTAACACCTTTGCTTTAAGGCAGGGATGGGGAACCTCTGGCATTAAGGGCACCTGTGGCCCTCTAGATCCTCCAGTTCAGCCTTTGATGGAATCCAAACTTCAAAGAACAGATCCCCTTCATAAAAGGATTTGTTCTGTAAAACTTGGGCTCGATCAAAAGGCAGCACTCGAGGACCTAGAAGGCTGCAGGCTCCCCAGCCCTGCTTTAAATGAATTGTGTCCTCTGGCAGACTAGAAACATGGTAGACTCACTGGTGGGGGCTTCTGGGCTATAATTTCAGGAGGGTGGGCCCACAGAGTACCTTAAACCTGGAATAATCATTCCAGGGAAACCAGCCTTCAGGTGTAAGTTGGGTAAGAAAGGGTGTAACCCTGAGGAATGCGGTGTTATTAAGTATCTTTTAGAGAAGCAGACCGGGTCTTCACAACCATTTGTCTGGGGATGCATCCTCAGGCTCCATCACTAGCTATGGCCTCTCTTTCTCTCCAGGCTTACACTGCCAGATAACCACAGGATTTCAACCTCAATGTCTACCAGGTGCCTGAACATTTAAATATATGTGTTATATATTAATATTACATGTGTATATATACCCACATGTCTACATATATGTCTGTATGTGGATGTGGGTGGATGGGTGGATGTGGGTGGATGGATGGATGGGGCAGCCAAGTGGCACAGTGGATAGAGTGCCAGGCCTGAAGTCAGAAGGACTCACCTTCTTGAGTTCAAATCTGGTCTTTTACTTACACGTCCTAGCTGTGTGACCCTGGGCAAGTCATTTCACCCTGTTTGCCTCAGTTTCCTCACCTGTAAAATGAGCTGGAGAAGGAAATGGCAAACCCGTCCAGTATCTCTGCCAAGAAAACCCCAAATGGGATCAGGAAGAGTTTGACACGACTGAAATGACCGAGCCCCACGGTAAGATGCTTCTCTGCTAAAGGTTCTCCTGGTCTTCCGCACTCAAGAGGAAAAGTCCTTCCCCTGCCCCTCCCTCTCCCGAAGTCATGAAGGGTCGGCAGCTCTTTTCACTAACCCCGCCCCCCTTCAAAAGGAGTTGAGAAAGCACCCCACCCCCTCCCCTCTCTTGCCTTAGCTACCCAAACTGTCGGGCCGGCGCCGGGCTCTCCGGCAGCTCCGCTAAGCTTAGCCAGCTCTTTACTCACCGGGATGCTACTCCGTCCAATCAGCTTCCAGCCACCGGTCCAACAGCCAATCAGGTGCAAGAGTCCGTCTTCTGAACAGGCCCCGGGGAACGCCTCAAGCTGAAGAGGATGCTCGAGCGTCTTCCAATGAGAGCCAGCCTTTCCCCAGCCAATCAGGAGCGAGCCGCTGGAGCCCCGTGGGCCGCTCCGCCGCCGTCAGTTTCCTGACATCCCGCTCCTGGAAAGCTGCCTTTCTCAGCCCCTGCGCAGGCGTGATCGTCACTCACCTGGCCCCGCCTTGTCCGCCTCTGCCCTTCCTGGCCAGTCCGGCCAGCTCAAAGCCTGCTGTTTCTCACCTTCCCTTATTCCAAAACCAAAACCCGACAACTCCCCTGGCAGTTTTAAGGCTACCCTCCCTCATCCCGTTGCACCAGTCTCCAAACAGTGATGGACTGACTTTGTGAGTTTTAACTCCTGGACCCTTAAAAAGTGACACGTGCAAATGTCAACGCAGACCCTGTGCCCTGAAATTCAGCTCAGCTGTTTCATCAGTCCTCAAACTGGTCCTTCGGAAATAGTTTGTTTCTTCATACTTACCTATTATACATTTTTGGTAAACGAGAGTTCTTTTTATATCCCTTCAGACACCAAACTGTTCACATGTAAAAAGAGCAGCACTTTATATTGCTTACAAGGTAATTTGAATCAAGTCGAGAAGCATTTATGAAGCTCCTACTATGTGCCAAGCACTGTGTACACAAAGGCAAAAGCAGTCTCCCCTATCCAAGAGCTTGCTGTCTAAGCGAAGAGAAAACTTACAAACAGCTGTTTACAAACAAGCTGTAGCCAGAGGCATTAGAGAGACTCTCAGAGCCGAGCCCCAGGGGGTGAAGGGCTGGGAGAAGCTTCTTGCAGAAAGTGAGACATAGCTGAGACCTGGAGCAAGCCAGGGAAAACTGCATTTCTTTGTACGTGAAGTTTATCAATTTTTTATTAACCAAAAATCTTCTGCAGCCAAGTTGTTCATCTGCAAGAACGGCATTGAATACCAGGCTTCCCAAGAAGATTAATTTCTTCTTCTAAAATACCTTTTCTGCCATTTGTAGCAGCCACTTTGCTTCTTAAGGGGACACTACTCTGTACCTGAAAATAATTTGCTTAGTTCTCCATTTGTTGGCGTTTCCTCAGATTTCTTACCTTTTAAAAAAAGCCCCTGATGCACCTATCAGATTGGCTAACAGGACAAAAAAGGAAAATGAGAAATGTTAGAGGGGATGTGGGAAAACTAGGACACTAATGCACTGTTGGTGGAGTTGTGAACTGATCCAACCATTCTGAGAGCAATTTGAACTATGCCCAAAGGGCTACAAAACTGAACCCTTTGACCCAGCAATGCCACTGCTAGGTCTCATCTCAAAGAGATAAAAAACAAAAAAGAAAAGGACCCACATGTACAAAAATATTTATAGCAACTCTTTTTGTGGTGGCTAAGAATTGGAAATCAAGAGGATGTCCATCAATTGGGGAATAGCTGAACAAGCCATGGTATATGAATGTAATGGAATACTATTGTGCTATAAGAAATGACAAGCAGGATGATTTCAGAAAAACCTGGAAAGACTTACATGAAATGATGATGCAAAGTGAAGCGACCAGAATCAGGAGAATGTTGTACACAGTAACAGTAAAATTGTACTTCGAAGAACTGGGAATGACTTGGCTAATTTTTTTTTTAATATGAGGCTTTTGGGGTTAAGTGACTTGCCCAGAGTCACACAGCTAGTGAGTGTTATGGGTCTGAGGTCAAATCTGAACTCAGGTCCTCCTGACTCCAGGACAGGTGCTCTATCCACTGTACCACATAGCTGCCCCAATGACTTGGCTATTCTGAGTCATACGCTGATCTAAGACAATCCCAGAGGAGTCATGATGAAACATGCTAACCACCTCCAGAGAAAGAGCTAATGTTGTATGAATACAACTGAAGCATGCTACTTTTTTGTGCTATCTCTTTTTTTTTGTTTGAGTATAAAATAATAATATGGTAACGTTTTACATGATTGCACATGTATAACCTACATGTGATTGCTTAGCATCTCAAGGAGGTGCGGAGGGGATGGAGGGATAGAATTTAGAACTCAATTTTAAAAGAAAGTATTAAAAATTCTTTTAACATGTACTTGGAGTATGTATATAATATGTGTATATACATATTACAAATATATACAAACATACACATGTACATATACATAGCCCCTTTTGTAAACGTGGTGGTGGTGGTGGTGGTGGTGGTAGAACTCCTCAGGATTTTACTGAACAAGAGTCCCCTTCCCATTCTCCTTAAACCTTCCTCAGGCCAGACTGGAAAATGGGGCTGGCCAGGAGCAGACTGTGTAGGGCCAGGAAAAGAGTCACCACCAAGTTCACAGATCTCTCTGGTAGAGCCCAGTCTACTCATCCCCAGAAAACCCAGCAGTAACAGGTGCTCCAGGGAGACTTTCCTCTCCTTCCTCCTCTTGGTCCCTTCCTATCTGTGTTAATTCCCCTTCTCCAGCAGGGACTATTTTGCCTCTCTTTGTATGCCTCAGCACAAAATTTGGCACAATGTGAGGGCTTATAAATGTTTTTCATTTATTCATTCACAAGTATGAATACTACATGTGGACAAACTGACCCCAGCTCTGGCTGAGGACTGAAAATCAATCCTCCACTGAATCTTGGATTGACTGAATAAAAACCCCAAAAGGAAAATGTATATTCTTAGGAACCTAGGAAAAGAGAGGTGAAAAAGGAGAGTCATTTGAAACTTAAAAACCAACCAGTCAAACAGCCACATGGCTTTCAGATCACAAACTTAAGTAATGTTACTCCATGGAAATAAAAACCATTGACTTTTTTTTCAGTTGCGCAAAACATTTTCATATTAGCCATGTTGCAAAAGAAAGACTAAAAACCCCCAAGAATAATAAAGGAAGTGAAAAACAGTCTGCTTCCATCTATATCCAGACTCCATCAGTTCTTTCTCTGGAGGCAGCTAGCATTTTCCATCATGAGTCCTTTGGGATCGTCTTAGATCATTGTATCGCTCAGAATAGCTCGGTCATTCATGGTTTTTCATCGTACAATATTGCTGTTACTATGTCAATGTTCTCCTAGCTCTGCTCACTTCACTTACATCAGATGGTTGTGCTACTCTACCCAGGTTTTTCTGAAAGCATCCTGCTTGTCATTTCTTTTTGTTTGTTTGTTTTTCACTAGGCAATGGGGTTAAGTGACTTGCCCAGGGTCACGCAGCTAGTAAGTGTCAAGTGTCTGAGGCCACTGTGCCCCCTAGCTGCCCCCATGGTTGTCATTTCTTATAATGCATAATAGTATTTAATGACAATCATATACCATAACTTGTTCAGCCCATTGATGGGCAGCCCCTCAGTTTCCGGTTCTTTGCTACCAGAAAAGAGCTGCAATAAATATTTTTGTACTGTGAACCATTTTCTCCCCCTCCTCCTCCCTCCATCACCCTAGAAAGGCCGAAACCCTCAATTGGCCAGTCAGGAGAAAGACATTTCTGGCCCACTCTGAGCTTAACCTACCATGATGCCTTGCGTGCTCTTGAATAACAAACATGCTTTGCTTTGCTCTCTGAGTGGACCCAAAATGCTCCTTCCTGTGCCAGCAAGAACAAGGCTGGATGAAACTGACCAGAAGCTTTCTTCTGTTTATGACCGTTCAGGGCAGGGTGCCTTCAGCCAGATACCATCTTGAATAATGGGACCTTTCTTTTCTTGGTGTTTTACGGGCACATGTTATGATATGTTATTATATATATATATATATACACACACATATATATATAGTTATGCTAATGATAAAAGAAACACAAACACCCTGGATCTATAATTTCAATTGACACCTTGACATAGATCTCTTATTGTATTGGCGACCTGTCCCATTAAGAAATTCCTTTCTCACATGATGGTTAGACACATATGGAGGCTATAATTTTGGGTTGACACAGACATTCTGAGTTGGGATTGCTCTAAGTATATAAAGGGTCTCCTCCAACTTGTTTACCTCTGAGTTCAGAATTATTTTCTGACTCCATCACGTATGATTCTCTGGCTTAATGAGACTACATAAGCACATTATAGCACATGTAGAGCCTGATTCTGTTTGTTCCTTGGTCAAACTTTTTGTAAGGTGAACCCCATTCTGTTTGTTCTTTGTGTAAACCTTCTGTTAAGGGGGAAACAGATTCTGTTTGTTTCTTTGGACCAAACGTTTGGTAAATGGTTGACAGTACACGTAGGTCCTTTACCTTTTCCTTTGATCTCTTTGGGATACAGACCTAGTAGTGGTATTGCTGGGTCAAAAGGTATGCAGAGTTTTATAATC